AGCCTCCGCCCGGCACCGCCGCTCGTCTCCTCCTCGCAGGCAGGGACTAAAGCTCCTCACGGTCACAAACTAACGTTGGGAAATAATCACGATGCTGGTGTTCCGCGTCCTGTCGCCGAGCATCCAGCGATCGTTCGTACTCGGGCAGAGGTTTATATCTCGAAGTTACTCCTCCTTTTATTTTCCTTCTCTAGAGTTACGGTAGTTCTTTCTCCCGTCTTTTGCACTGAAATCTCAAGCTTTCCGTTAAGCGCTGGTGTCTTTCATGTATTCGTTTGTATTTGTGCCTTTTGGAAAGTAAGCGTGCGTGCTGCAAAGCCTTGTAAGCTTATGTTTGCATGGTGCTTTGTCACATGGCTTGTATTAGATGAGTATTTAATCCTCCAACTGATAAGTTTGCTTGGCTCTTTTGGAGTGGAAGAACTTGATAGATGCTTATGTGAAGGCACCTGTTTAAAGACTACTAAAGACAGGTTGGCTTCTTTACCCAGCCCTTTCAGACAGGCAGTATATTCTCTCGAGTGTTGTTAAGGCATCACAAATATTTTTGTCTTAAATGTGGTTGTTTTGATCTTGACTTAAAATGATATTTCATACGGATGACCCCGAGCCATCTCCAATTAATGCTGAGAGGCAAAGAGAGTAATTAACCAAAACATTAATGAAGATAAGGGTATAAGTAGTAGTGAGAAGCTGCTTTTAATGAGATACTGGACAATTTTGTAAAGGAACTTTCATTTGTTACCTAAAAGTGGTTGCTCAAGTTACAGCTGCGTGATTATTTTCTTTTTTTACTGTGTAAAGTCAGTAGAAGTGGAGATAACTTACTCTCTTTTCTAGTGTTTATAGGCTTACTGTGCATGATTGTTTGGGTAGGGGATCTTACCTTCAAGCAAGAGTTCCTTGCTACTGTATCTTCCTCTCTTTATGCCATTTCTTTGTCACTGAGGAAGCTTCAGCTTTGTCTTCCCTGCAATTATACTAGTAATGAGTTTGGGTTTTGTTGGTTTTGATTTGTGTTAGCTGTGCAGTATTTTAACTTGTGCAAAATATTCAGGTAAATGAAAACATGTGTGCATGTTTATTGTTATAAAATCCTCCTGTTGCAGTGAAGTAGTTGCCACTTAGCTTACAGGTGTAAGCGGCACAGGCATCACTTGCCATCCTGGGTCAGCAAAACCGTTTTGTGTCCTCACACGGGATGCTTTTGCTGTTGGAGGGCCAGGTCTGTACGAGCGTAGCGCGGACTCAGCGGCCTTGGGAACTAATGGTGTGTGGCCCTGCTGCTGCGTGCCTCGCTGCTGCTCATGCTCCGGAGTCAGGAGTGAGCGCTGATACGGAAACGGGGATTTATGAGTTGACCTTCATTTTAGAATCTCTTATTGTATAATCTTCTGGGACTAAAAATACACCAAGCGGCTAGTGTGCTCTAGTAAGCACAACTAATACCTCTGCTCTGCCACAGGGAAATTGGTCACAGAGCATGTTACATGCGTGCTGTGGTGACTTGATTTCTCAAAGATGTGGAGCTCCTCTGGTTTCACCTGTGGAAACTGAGTACTGCTATCCAGTGTTATCATGCTTGTTAATCTCCGGTGCTTTTTATAGTGTTCCTGTCTAAGTTTACTGAGTGTAGGTTGTTGGATGAAATCAACAGGTTATTGTTAATTTCAAGTACTTCTGAATTTCTGTAACCTTAAACTTTGAATGGCATAATCTTTCAGTAATCTGATGCCATAATTTCTGTAGCTTCAGGAACCCTACAGCCTGGCAAAGGTCCAGTTGTACATATACATTATAAGCTGTTGCCTCACTTCTCTGTATATGTTTTACAGAAGGTCCCTGTTAGGAGTTCAGCTAGTAAAGTGGTCATCTTAAAATTGTTTAGCTTCACATGAAATTTGTTTTGCAGTGTGATCTTCTAATGAGTGTCTGTTTATTTAAGTACATGACTTGAAGCCATGCTGATGCTCTGAGGCTTTGTGAGTGAAATAGTTAGAAAGGTGCGTGTCACAATGTTACCCCATACTTCTCACTCCTCCTGCGGAAGGAGAAACAAACCAAATAATGTAGTGACTTAGATGTGAGGTTTCCTGACTTCATTATGCTAACAGCACAACTTTCACACCAGATGTGCTCTGTGCATTGTGAATTAAGTTTATTAGGTCATTCTGTTCCAAGAAGTTGAGGTCAGTGTCTAATGCTGTCTACTTAAAAATGAGTAGGACATGCGCAAATAAAACCTCTTACTCAGTACAACTGCTCTTATTGTGGTTTTTGTTTGGCTTGTTGGGCTATTTTTTGTGATGGTTGACTTTTTTTTTCTGCTTGGCTGAATGGAGCTGGCTTCTGCAAGACTTGCTTAGCACCTAGGAAGATGCATGTAAGAGCTTGTATATTCTCAGTGCCCATTTTCTGTTCTTCCATCATGCTTCCCGTACTTTGGCCTGTCCTCTTGTGTCCATGACAAGGCAGTGGGTAACTTGCAAGGCATCATTCTGTAATTCACCTCATTGCTCCTTCCAGTGTTCTGGTTTTTGGTGCTCAGTTGGTTCTCCTGGTTGCTGTAATTGCTAAATACAGTTGACCCCATCTGATTTAAATATGTAGTGTTGTAAGATAGTTACCAGGGAAGTTTTAATGCTGTGTGATGTCTAATGCACTTCCTATTTCAAATGCTCTTTTCCTCAACTGTAATTCAGATTCCATGCTCATTTCCATCGTTGGAATGGCACTGTACACGGGCTACGTGTTCATGCCTCAGCACATCATGGCAATATTGCACTACTTCGAAATTGTGCAGTGATGAAGAGCGTATTTTCAAGAAGTAATCGGGCTTTGAGATCTAGTCTGCGAAGAAGAAGGAGCATCTTAGTTTTAACAAGACTTCTGCCAATGTCAGAAAGACACAATTACGACTCTGAAGACTAGCAAACAAGATATGTAGAGCAGGGACATGAGGTGTCCCCTATGTTGTGTTCATTCCTTTTAATTTTACAGAATAGGCCCTTGTATAGTAGTTTTGTCTACTTTAACATTGTGATTGTACTTTGATATCAGTATTTTCTTAACTTTGTGACAGTTTCAATATTGCACTGTGAAAGCTTTTCTTAATTGTAATTTTGAGTAAATCTTACTTGCCTTCTATTTTTAATCGGAAAGTCATCTTATTAAATGGGGCTTAAAGCTTTTGCTATTGTATGGTATGTATTTGCCTGGATATTTCTATTAATGCATTTTGTAAGAAAATACATCTAGATTCATATTAGAGACGTGGATATATTCGTCTTAACACTATTTGCAGAAGTTAGTTTGTACGACTGAACTCAGGTGTACTGTTTGCTGTCCAAACTTTGTTCAACAGTATATTTGTGCGTATCACCTACATTTGGAATTAGCAGTTACTTCAAGTTTCTGTATTCCACCTGTTGGAGGAGGGACGGGAGATGAGGCATTGAGGCAGGACGAAGACTCTTATTTGTTATGTTTGGAGTAGTGCTGTGGTCTGGGGCTTTATCTAGTAGGGGGGGAAAGTACTTTTCTTTACTGACATAGGCCCACATATGGCTTTGGGATAGCACTTTAAATCAACCCTGTTTTTCTAGCTACCGACTCAGTTGTACTTTTACAGGATGCTTTATTATGTCCCAATGGTTATGGTTTCTGCTAATGTTCATTCAACAGTGTAACTATGTCTAGGTTTGAAAGGGGTTTTCTATTGCTGCTAGTGTTCCAAACATGTTTTCGCTACAAATGACCAAAACATAAATGGACTTGAGTTACAACTACAGCAATAAGTAGCTGAATACTTGGCTGAAGTCCTGGCTTTTTTTTAATAGGGATTTTTTTCAGTTTTGTATTCTGAAATGTAAGATGGTGACAACTTTCCTAAGTGGAGGGGTTTTTTTGTTGTTGTTTAAAAAAATAAAAGTTTAAAAGCAGAGCTTTGATGCAGAACTTTCTTGGAGAAGTTACTGTGTTTCTGAATGCTGCTTGCTTTTCTCAGAACTTTCCAAAAAGGGTTAAAAAGATACTTGACCAAAGAATTGTGATGATTTTTTTTAATGGCCCAGTAATAATAGGTACTGTTATATATTTTATGCAACTTGATTTATTGAAATCAGGAGTTATATTCAAGATGTACAACTAAATTGTTCTATAAAGATACCTTCTTTTAGGTGTATTTTATTTTCTCAAGTGCACACTCATGAGAAAAGAGTGGGGTTCCCCCCTCCCCCCCCCCCATATTTAAGAACTTCATATGCATTTGGTTAAATACTCTGTTACCATCTTGGGAGCTGTAAACTTCTTAGGTGAACCCTAGCTTTACCAAAGTTGGTAGGAGTCTCCCAGTAAGTAAGTGCCTTCACTTATCTGGATAGCTAAACATAGGTAGGCTTTTGGGGTGGTGGCTTTTGTGTGTGTGTTTGTGTTTGGTTTTGTATGTGAGTATTTTAAGTGTATATGGAGATAATGATAGGTTAACATACTCTTTTTGAAGTAATGTAGCATAAATTCCTG